CTGTGTGTTTTGTTGTGAAAGTGAAACTACTTTGTTTGGCCTTCCAAAAGAGGACGATATCCGCTTCGTCCTGCCTAGAGCTGATTGGGGCTGTTTGCTGAGGAAATACATCAACTTCGCGCTGTGGATCGCCGGATCGGCTTTCACCGTGGACGAAGCGGAGTCCAGCCCGGGGTCGTCACATGTGGCTGCCGCAAGCCCGCCGGACGCTCCTTCATCGAATCCGCCGGCCGTGCCGTTCTCAATACGGCATACTCGTGTATATTTAATACTATATAATATAGTATATTTATTACTATACACGTCACACGAGTATGATCGCGGGCGCGATTTGGTATCACAAACTTGGCTGCATTTGAGTCTTCATGGCATTTTGAGGACACAACATCGTCAAGTAAGTAACTTTAACGAAAGTTACAGTATCCACTGTAGTTGTCCGCTAGTAAAAACAGTTTTATCAGTCATTATCCGTGTACGAACTAGCGCAAACATATAATGTTGCCTCACGAAGTTAGCCATCAGTCTCGAGTTGAGCATACCAGCTTATTTCTGTTTCAAACACATATGGCTTAATTAAACCAATATTTCCACTTGCCATTGCCATTGTATCGCGTTTACTACAGTTCAGTTAGTGGATCAGGAGGCGCTGGCTCATGGCTGGCTGGTGTGTGACTGAGGGGAGGTGGGGCTAATTTGCGTATTCATAGATCTGCGTATAGTAAATGAGGCATGGGTGTAGAGTTGCATTCAAGCTATTTTAAGGCATGAGAAAATTATTTTCACAAGAAAAAAAATGTAAATGTCATTTTGATGATCAAAGATGAGTTTTAAAGGATACAATTTTTGACTACAGGGGGACTTTAAATTTAATGTAATAAAACGTCTTCAATACATGAAATGGTAAAACAAACATCTTAATGATAATTTTAAGACATCTTACAATTTGGGGATAGAAAAACACATTTTATCATGCCAAAATGCTTGCTGTTGTTTTCACGGGAAGTTCGGCAGCTGTGCTACAGAAAGCTAAGCGAGACAGCATTTTCATTTTTGGGTGAACTATCCCTTAAACTGCAGTTTAATTAATTTGTTTTTGATGAGCACACTATGCCATCTTTTTTTTAAATATTATATTTTAATATTATTTCCATTTTAGTTCGACTGACAGATGCTTTTCCAAAGCAATGGTGCAAAACACAGTGATCTTTTATGTTATGAGAAGTGTAAAAATATTTTCCATTATCAAACACTGGCAGGCTGCTAGGTAATTAATGGGACACACACTGGTGTAAGGTGGCAGGTTTACCGGTACTACGGTAGTATCGCGATACTAAAGGCTCCAAAATACTGGTGGTGCCACTATTTTTTAAACGGTAGTATCGTCATTACGGTTCTATCATAAGTAAAGTTGTATGTGGGGCAGTCGCTAAAATGTTCAAACACTTGTGCCGACTTTTTTTTGTTCTTTTGCCTTTCTGCTGTGTTTTTTAAGGGTGCAAAATGCTGTGTAGAATTTGCGCCTTATGCCGGTTTCACACTGGATGCACAAGCAGAGCGGAGGCAGCGCAGAAGCTGTGCATATGCAAAGCGGGAGCAGCACGCGCCCATTGAGCTTCCACACTGGCAGCGTTTATCACGCACAGCTGAACCACGGCTTGTGCACTGCAAATATAGATGAGTATCGTTCGTTCGGTCACGTTTTTCAGGTGTTTTCCTACAACTCTCATGTGCTTTGATTTATGATATGGGCAGCATACTCTGCTGTGATGCGGTTGTGTTTTCCTCTGTCCCACACACACATGTTTGCATGATAAAAGTAATCTTAACGTTAAGATATACATATAAACTATAGTTTTAATCATTTAAACGAACCTTTGAAATTTGGGCAAAAACTCCTGGCAATTATGTGTTTCGTGCATTTATTAAGCTTATTTTTTCACAGAACTGAATGTCATATGGTGGTTGGGAAACACGGAACAGCTCACTTATTTGATTTTATTGTGAAATTTGTTCTTTTTCGTGTTTACCCATGTCTATTTTGAACAAGAACAATGCATTGTGGCTTTAATTCACAGTGAGCGGCGCAGCAAAAATAGACTCTGCGCCAAAACGATCGCTGCACTGCTGCTTCTGCTCTGCTCCTGCTACACGCTGAATACGGTAACCTGTTAACATGGGCACCGGAAAAAATATGCGCTGCTTACGTCCTGCTTATGCGTGTGGTGTGAAACGGCCTTATTTAATATGCATATATCTCTCATGGCATCGCGATACTACTTGGTATCGTGATACTTCAGCTGGTATAGTATCGTAACGTGGTTATGGTATCGTGACAACCCTACACTGGTGTATGACAGATGTCAATTGATTAAAAAAGTTTAACTAAAAATTAAGATTATTCAGAGATATTATTCTGAAAGTTTTATTTTATTTTTTTTTTTTTTAATAAGCTTCAATTTTGTCATTAGTCTGTCTGAGGTAGACTTGGTTATCGTTCACACAGAACACATTATTGGGTTAATTTATGGAGCTATTTAATTTTACTGTTGTGTAATAAGTTTGACCAATATTTGTGCACCTGTTTCAGGTTGTAGCCTCCAAAGTGGCCAATGCCAAGCTGGAAAGTGAGCTGAAGCAGGAAAAGGCAAATCTGCTGGATATGCAGAAGATCTTGTGTGATGAGCGCAAGCTCATGTCTTCCATGGATATGGAACATCAGAGTCAACTGGTAGAAATGGAGCAGAGACACCAGGAGAAGGTCTGCTTTCATAAAAGCTCTTCATAGATGTTATAATGCTTTTGTCGTAGTAAAGCATAAGTCAGAGTTCCCTTTAAATTACTTTTTTCTTTCAATAAATGTTTCATTTAAATGATAAACTTCATCACTTATTTTGCTAGTAGGTTTTCTCTTTGAGTTTAATTAAATTATTTAACGGAATGTTTGTGTAATAATTTAAACTAACTGCAAGAATGGTTAGTTTAAGGTTTGTTTAAAATGGTGAGCAGTTACATTACCTAAAATGCGCACTTTTCCTTAAGCATTGATATACAGTGTTGCTGATATATGAGATTTTGCTGTATTTGGCTGAGCAGTCATTTCGGTAGCTTGCCAATGTACTCGATTTCTCTAATACATAAAATAAGTAAGCTTGACCAGAGTTCTTGTGGGGAGAAGAATTTATTGATGGCAGTACAGGGCTCCAGACTGCGACCAATTTTTTCTGCCGGTGCGCCGCAGACCACCACATTGCCCACCTCATAAGCACTGCCATTTCTGTTGCGTATGAGAAACAGCAAACGAGACAAAAGCATGACGAAACCGCTCTACTCGTTTGAGCTGCACAGCGCGGACCGTTTATCAGCTTGGACCAATAATTGAGTGCAGCACAAACAAACTGGCCCGAGCTCAGAACCGGTTTACTCGGGAACCAGTGTTGATCTAGTGACACTGTTACTGTACATTGCTGTGAGATTCAGTGAGAAGCATTTGAATTTGCCGCAGAATGAACAAGGTTGCTGCGAAATCTAGTGAGAAGCATTCAAATTCTGCACACAATTCTGTTATAAACAGATCAAACAGCGCTGACAAATAAAAACCATAAGTAGTAATGCTAACTATGACCATGGTGTTTTGGCAGATACAGTCGAATGTTATTACATTATTCATTCAGTGTTTGTACAACCTTTTAAGAGAAGTTCAAGCACTTCTCAATGACTTTCAAGTATTTCACACAACTATTTGCAGCATTTTAAAGCTCTAAAAATGACCAAATTAAATTGTATTTTTATTGGGATGACCAAAATTTACTTTGTGGTAAAGAAACACTTATTAAAATTAAAAAAATACATCAAATTACCACTTTAACCAGTAAATGGCATCAGATCAGCACTTATTGGCTTATTAGCCATTCATTTCCACTTTTTTGCTTTATATTTTGAGATTATAAAATCACTCTTATTAAATATCTTATCAAGAAATCAAATTGTGTATGAAGAAAGAAAAGTCACAAAGTGCCTTGAAAAACAAACTTTTCTTTAATTTGCGACTGACCCCCCCAGCGCTACCAAATCTGCTTCTGGCGCCACCATCTGTAGATCTTAGTGGCGCTGGTGCCACTGCTCTCAAATGTTAGTCTGGAGCCCTGTAGTAGTGTAACAGTTCTTCAACAGGAATGTTAGCTAGTCGGTCTTCAAGGAATCTTAACCCAAATTTCTGGGACAACTATTAGGACCTCCCATGTAGGGTCCTCAATAAACAAGATTAAATGTCATTTGTGTGGACCATCTGGCCCACCTATATGGGCCGTCGCCTGTATAGGCCATCTTGATCAAGCCCTACAGACACAGTTGATTGCATCTAAGGGACAGTCACAATGTAAATGCATCCAAAAAAAGATAACTGATATGCATATAATGTTTCAATATATTTCACTCATGCCATGTGTCTGATGTGTTGTCCAGGTGCTGTATCTCCTCGGTCAGCTCCAGAGTAAGCCTGTGGCACAGGAGAAACTAAAGGAGCAGCAGGAGGAGGTGTCTAAACGGGAGCACGAGCTAATGCAGCGTCTAAAATTTCAGGTGTGAATGTCTCCATACATTGCATATGTGTGACCCTGGACCACAAGACCAGTCATAAGGGTCAATTTTTCGAAACTGAGATTTATACATCATCTGAAAGCTGAATAAATAAACTTTCCATTGATATATGGTTTGTTAGGATAGGACAATATTTGTCCGAGATACAACTATTTGAAAATCTGGAATCTGAGGGTGCAAAAAAATATAAATATTGAGACAACGCATTGGATAGCTGGCCAATCACAGCACACCTCGCTTTTTTGAGACCGATGAGCTTTGTAAGGATCGACGCGTTTCAAAAAGGCGGGGCATAGAGGAGAAACAATAATGTACAGTATGTGGAAAATAATGTGTTTTTTTTACTTTAAACTGCATAAACACATTTCATTACACGAAATACACAAAATAATGTTCTTTTTAGCAGCATCATATGACCCCTTTAATATTCTTTTATGGAAAGAACACAAGACTAGTTGTTCTGTAACAAAAATTGTTGTTGAATTTGGGTATACTAAGTTTCTTTGTGTAATATGTAAAATACAATGAAAAAAATGAATAAAAAATGGTTTGATGAGCTATGCAGTCATTGTTTTATTGCACACATGCAGTGTCAGAATTACCTATTAAACATGACATAATTTGGCAAGTAAAATAGTGAACATTTAAAAATATAAGGATAATTAGTAAATAAATATATTGCTTCATCACAGGAAGAGGAAATTGAAAAACTGCGAGAACTCAATGATCAGAACCAGAAACTCATGGATGAAAATGAACAGTACAAGCAGGTATAAGCCTTTTTTCTCACAAATTTCATCATACTGTAATTAGCAAATTGGAAACTGAATTTCTCAATTGAGTTTTCCATCTAAGTTATGCATCAAATTTCTGAACTCTAAAAACATTTTGTTTTGTGGGTGGATCTCCACAGAAATTACTTCTGGCCCAGCTGACCAGTGCAAAGAAAGTCCTGTCTTCTGTGAATGAGTCACCTGATACATCTTTTGAATATGTTCCACCTAAGGTGAACCTCCTCTTCTCCAAGGTTTTTTTTTTTTTTTTTTTCTTCAAAATCAGATTTAGGATTTAGAGGTCTGGGATTTATTCTGTCTTTTTTCCCCCACATCAAGCCCAAAGCCAAAACCTACTCCACTGCTCGGGCACGTCTGCAAGAGCCTATAGATCTTGATGAACTCATCAACTCCCTTGATGAACCGTCAGAGTCAGAGAAAGAAGAGGATGAGTGGCGTCCAGAGAAAAGCGACAGAGCACGACGAGGCTCTAAGAAGTCAAAAATGAACGGCGTGAGTTTTGTGACAGTGATGCATAGATTGTAATCTATGATCTTGAAAGTTACAGTCAAGTATATTCACCAGGATATGCCTTGGAGTTTGTTGCAGCTTTATATAGCTGTTTCAAAACTGTATAGTGCTTCTTCCTGGAGGCTTTATTTTTTAGCAAGCCATTTATGTATGATTCTGTCTCCTCTAGTGTGCATGTCGGGGCCGCTGTGTTAATAAACTTTGTCGCTGCCGCAAGGGAAAAATGACCTGTGGGGAAAACTGTCTCTGTGACCATGAGAAATGTCGCAACATGGAGAACCGTAGCAATGTGGTTAGTAGAATGTTCTTTTAAAGAGCCAGGGGTTGTTTGTTTACCCTGTGGATGGCCAATTCCTGACGTTATTTCTTCTGCTATTGTCCTCAGGATCAGACTGAAATAAGTGATGTGTCTAAGGACTCTGCTGCAATTCCTGAGGACCCTACAGCAGTCAGCCCACGAGATGCTACTTTTTTTAGACCCCCTAGTGTTCCACCTACTAAGAAGGTAAGACCAAAAGTGATTTTTCCCCCACTTTCATTATGTCTCTTTCTAACGGAATGGTTTACTCAAAAAGAAAAACTGCTATGCTTTTTCATATTCTTCCATATTATTTTATATATTTTCATATGATGTAATACAGAATTCATACAAGGATATGCAATCAATACATGAACATGTTTCTGTTTGGCTCAACTGTCAAAAATGAAATTCTCTATTCTCTACTTTCATTGTATGTTTTTTTAATGGCCGGTCTTACTAAAAATTATTGTAGAAGCGACAAGTACATAACAAACCAGAAGTAACTTTGATGCAAGAAAAAAGTGAACTATGTCCTCAGGTTTAATATGTGCTGTTGTTGATTGCCACAAAAATAAGATTATAAAATTTTCATACAGAAGGACCAATACATTAGAGAGAATTGTCTATTTGTCCAAGCACAGCACACTGTTGTAAGGTCCATCCAAATACTTTAAAATTGTGCTTGTTCATTAGGAATCTATAACACCGTGTCTACACAGGACGCGAGCGGCACGGCGTGACAAAATACAATAGAATCTATTATGCTGTCTACACTGGATGCGGTGTGGTGTGACAAATTCCTGACAGTAAACTGCTGCTGCGTTCTATTTATGACGTACTGGCACAAATTTCAAATGATTTTCAACGGTCGCTTTGTCGCGTCCAGTGTAGACAGACTTTAACTGTTGTGGCGTGGCGCAGTGCGACAAGACAACTGTCGCGTCCGGTGTAGACACGGTAAGAGATATTTTCACACTTGAAATAGTTAACCCTAGGTCATTCTAAACCCTGGTTAAGAGAAATCCCGGTTTATCTTGCTTCACGTTTCACACTGGTTATAATCTAGCAGGGGTTAACAATAAATCCTGGGCATTCATAAACTGACATACATTCCTAAACCCCAGGTTAAATTTTATTGAATTAATTCAGCATGCAACGTGTTTACATTAAGGCTCTGGCGTTGCACAGCCTCATGATATATATTGCGGATTGTACTATAAAGTTTTCCAGAATTGATTTTTTGTACTATAAAGGTAAGAATAAAATGGGCACTTCACTCATATTCTCTTGTTTTCTCTCACCATTTGATTTATTCCTTCAAACGTTGAAAAAACTGTTTATTCAACACTGTTGATCCATAAATCTCTAAAGCACATGAATATGAGGCACGCGATTGGTTGTTGATTGCTAAGCATCTAACCGTAACATTCTAACACGCAATGTGAGGTCAACACCACAAAAGCGGTGCTGACCCAGCTCCAGGACCATAACCCAGGGTTAAAAGCATGGTTTAGAAATATGATAACGTGGAACTAGAGACCTACATTCCCGCGGGACTACCGCAAGACCCGCAGGACCCAACGGGAGCTGGACAAGACTTGATGGGCGAGTGCGGGTGTGGGCAGGTGGACAATCGTGTGTGTGTGCGGGATGCGAGAGAATAAAATGATTTGCGAGGCTCCCGCAAAATAGAAATATCTAAAAATAAAACAACAGTTATAAAAGCTTTGTAAGATTGCGATGAACTGAGAGCTTTATAGTGATTATAAAGGGATCGCTCTTTGTTCGCATTCTGCCAGGCCAAACCATGCACGCAGCAGCCCATGCTTGCTTTTCTGTTAAAAATAACAGTGGTTTGAGAATGTTGATGCTTTAATAACAAGTATTTTATCAGGAGCATTTATGCTGGAATGTTGTGGAGCTTACAGGATGTTTTTATGTAAATTTCATGAATGTATTGAGAAAAATCTACATAGGCTACTTTTATGGGGGTGGGAGCGGGACAAAACATGAATGTTGCTGGTGGGAGCGGGACAAGATAACACACATTTCAGGGCTCCAGACAAAAAAAATCAATTAAGGATCCATTGGCTCCTGTAAGAAACAAAATTAGGCACCAGATTATTTTTTTGGGTGCCACAGAATGAACATCTTTTATTTTTATTTTTGAACACTAACATTTCAGTCATACTGTCATGTGTTTGTCTCATCTTTTCTTGTCTTTATCAGCATTTTAATCCATCTTGTAGATGTCCTGGAAACCAAGGTTCACTTAAATTGGGAACTAAATGTCTTTTCCAACTTAAGAAATAAATACAGTCACAAAGAATTGTGCCAATATCTCAAACCATAATTATTTCAGCATCACTTGGCTATTGTGTGTAGTTTGGGCTCCTCTTCCTTTTTTTATGTTTTAAAAATGTTTTAATCTAATTAATTACACAATGTGCTGATTAATTAATTGAATTACTTTCAAATAATTAGATTGATTAATTAGCACATCATGTGCAGATTAATTAAACCAACTAATAAAGTCATTATTAAAGATCATTTAATATCAATTAAAGTCATTGTGTTAAATTAGAAAAGCACTGAATAGAGAAATATTTCAACATACAAAAACACAAATATACTGTATTACAATATACTACTCTAAATATAAAACTAAAAGAGCCAGTAGGTGGTGGCAAATCGCTGTGTTAATGAGTGAGCCATTCAGTCATTCATTCAACCGATTTGTTCAAACGGCTGATTCATTCAGAAGCAAACAGTGGCTGTGTTCGAAATTGCATACTAACATACTGCTTACTGCCTACTGCCCACTATACAGTGTATACTGCCTACTATTTTTTAAAGAATAGTGTGTGAAAGTATACAATAAGCAACAAAATGTTTCAGAGTAGTATGCTACAGTGTTGTCACATGACAAATATTGAACCTTAATTCAGCACAGCTGTCGAGGCTGTTACCTTACAAATAAATGTGTTAACTCTTCTTTTATATTCAAAGGCTTGTTAATAAGAGTTCATACTAGTAAACAATGCTATATTGCCCAGTTAAACTAATTTCATAATTAACTTTACATATTGAACAGAACTGAATCAATATCATATTTTTATTGCAAATAAATGCCTTTCCGATCTGATATGTGATGGGAAAAGGAGAAGAACGAGAGGCGGATTTGAACACGAGTCGATCGCATCAATTACTTCTGCTTTACAGCGGAATTGAATTGTTTGCATAATTTAAATATTATTATTTATATATTATATTACTGCAATATTATTATTATTTAATATCTTTGAAACAATCTGTGCTGTATAAAGCGCTTTAGAGATAAAGGTGACGTCATTTGACTTGATCGGAAACGTGCCTTAGAGATTAAGGTACAATCTACTGTATGTTCTACTAACATAACTTGAAAATGAAACGTCACGTGGAACGCGTTGCATTGTGGGAAACGGTATTCCATGCAGTGTCTTCAGATGCATACATCAAATTTCAGCAAATGGAGCGGGTAATCCGGGAATTCCATGCATACAGAAAATGCACATACTATTCACAGTATAAACATTGCATACTGCAATATAGTAGGAGTTGTATGGTAGTATGACATTCCAAACACACATACTGTATTTATAAATGGCTCACTGAATAATTAGCTCAATCGATTCGTTCAAAACCGTGGATTCATTCAGTAATGAAACACCGCTGTGTTAAGACGCACAGCAGTTCTGCTTTCGTTGATGAACTTGCACAAAAACAGACAGTATTGTATCTAAAATGTAACAATATCAAATTATTGTTTATTGAAAAATCAATATCACATTTGCAATCGTGCAGATATTCTCGAAAAAAAAAAACAGCTCTCTTGCTTGAGACAAGCCTTAAATTCGTTAATATATTTTTTCTTACCCCGATATTATTTGCACCTTTATCTTATCTTCATTTGTAAGTAAAAACTTTAAAGTAACCTATTTTTCTTTCGACCAGCCAATGATGATTCTGAAAGAAAACAAGCGGTGTTTGGTATAGTAACACATGCAACTTTAACACGCATCTGACGGACAGATAAAACGCGTGCTCGTATTTCAGTGTTATTTTAACAAATAGTTACTTTAGTACAACAGCATAAAGTTAAAGAGGGTGAATTTTATTACTCGACTGAATCCATTTCAGGGGCTGCCAAGTTTAAATTATTATTATTACAGTTTAAAAGTAGTCAGAGCTATGCATCTTTATATTTACAAGTACATCTCTATATTATGCGTCGGCTACTTTCTATCCAACCCCCCTACATTTAGTTTTGATGTCCATCAGGGGGGATCAAGCCTTCAATAGGGGGGTCAGACCCCCCCAAACCCCCCGTAATTCGCACCCTGATAGTAAAGAGAAAGATAATGATGGGTTCATGTGCCGCTTGAACTGAGACGCTAAAGCGATTGCTCATGCCGCATTAAAGAGCGCTAAACGGTATTTATTGTTTGAATTTCGTTATGAATTTGGCAGAATTTTAAACCTGATACTTTATTAAAAGGTAACAGAGCACAATGCTTATTGCGATTATTGGACGGCAAGTGCACTACAAATAATATGAAGTTCACACTGGGGCTGTAGCTTTCGATTATTTTAGTAGTTATTCTACTGATTATTCCATCGATTAATCGAGTAATCGGATAAGAAGTTATTTTTCTTTATTAAAGAGCAATACTAGATATACAAGAGAAAATAAGATAGGTCTCTTAAAATAAACAACTAGTTTGTTTCCTTTTTAGAAAAATAAATATTTTTACTGCTGAAATTGCATACATTAATTACCGTTAAAATGAAACCCATTTAATGCATTTAATTGCCATATTACATTCAAAATAAAAAATACAAATATATCAATAAAAATAAAATATAAATAAAAAATAAAATAAATAAATAAAAATACAAAAATCTATTTCACATTACTTTAAAAAAGATAAACATTACAACCTATAATTAAGGCATAAATCAAGAAATATAAAAATCAATTTCACATTAAAAAAAGGTACAAATTAAAACTAAGGCATAAATCAAAATAATAGTAATAAAAATAATAATACCTAAAAATTGCATTTATGTTGTGCAACTTAACTTTCAAGTTTCGTCCTAACTAAAGCTCAAGCATGACATAAGCCTTTACTGTCTTCTTGGAAGGCTTTGTGGCTTTTGTAAGA